TCAAAAAGAGGGGTTTCTTAGCGCCGTGACATCTACACCTAAAAGGATTTGGTGTCGAGGGTCGTGCGTTATGTAGAAGACGAATCCTTTTAGAAAGTTGATGTATGATTGGCTTTCTGTTTGATTGGCTGGTCGAAGTACAGTCATGGGTCATATGACGTGACTTCCTCTAGGGGTCTTGTCAGATCTTGACGTATGGAAGTGCAAAAAAAGAAAAAATCTGGTTGAAATGAAATTGTACATTATCCGGATACTGAAACATAGAACAACTCACACTTTATTTAACAAACTGCTATATTTTCTAAACTAAACCTATAGTTAAAATTGTTAACCCTTTCCGTATTAATATGATTTAGTCATATAGCATGTTATCACGCGCAGCAAAACGAATTAAGAGTTGATGGTGGAGGGGTTACGTGCATATTACCGAAAACCACATACTTCCGTGCTACACTGGATTGTCTTGCCGCCATCATACAGCAAGGGAATAAAAACAATCCTTAGAATTTGAGGCTTTTCATACGTCGAGGTTATATAGTTTAACTGTAAATATCGCCGTGAAGACAGACACTGATGGCTCAAACCAGATACCACAACTATGAAGATTTGTCCATATTAACTTTCCAACTTGATGTCACTGTAGCTCCCCTGTTCGTCGGTGAGGAAGAAGAGCTACGACTCCACCTACTTGAGGCCGAGAAACCCAGCGGATGGTATGTTTCATAGCAACACGCTTTTTAACATGATAACTGAAATCATCACAAGCTGTAACTTGCCGCGAACAGTTGCAAAACTGCTGATGAGGGTAAAGAAATTAATCTCTCACTGGGAATGTGAAAGAGATTACGAGCGAGCACGTTTAGTTTAGCGTCTCTTTGAACAGCATGTCAACTTGAGTGGGAAGAAATCCCGAATTTATTTACCACTTGGTACTTGGGTCATGAGATATAATTTATTATAAACACAAGAAACACGAGGGACATTTCCGACATTATCGTTGATTCAGATTGACGTGCAGTGCACCGATCCTGAACAAAAAATATTTTACCCTGAAAGCAATATGCCATCATGGTATAGAGGTTTTTATTACTGAGGCTATCTATACATTGTTTCTCGATATATTCGTTAACGGGATAGGCCAGGGTTTCGAGCAAATGCCCTATTACTTTTTCTTAAACCATTTGACACGGAGGGCATTTACTGACCCCGCTTGTGTATGTGTTTGTAAGGTGCCAAGGGACGGTCCAGGAAAGGGTCTTGCGTCACACTACCTCCGATCGATGTTGTGCCGTCACCCATGTCGCTCAAAAGAACAGACTCATCACGACAGATGAATAACATTCAGTCGCGGAGACGCTCTGTGTGTGACGACGACACGAAATGGCTGATCAGTAAATTGGCGGAGATGTCGTTCGGTGACAAGGACGAGGAGATGCTGCACGAGGAGGATCAACCGGAAAGTATGACACCGGAACCGGAACTGTTCAAAGAGTTTCGTGTTTTCGAAAATGGCGTCGCTGTTCTGACCGAGGAACAGAAGATGCGGAGCAACTTTCGGCCTCGCTATTGTTGGTGTTACCGGTGTCAGACGATGTTCACCATGTACAAAGCTAACGATCCTGCCCTCGAGAACTGGGGGAACTACCCGTGTCATCAGTGGTAGAGCTGAACGTCCGAATGTCACTGTGTATGATGTCATCAACAACTGCATCAAGACTGTAGTGTTGAAGGTCTAGTCATGTTCATATCATGTATGTCAATATCAAGTAGTTGTTTATATAATCAAGGGCAACGGTGACTTTGTGATGAACTGATTACTGGAAAGTAATGATTGTGATGACATGGCCTACATCAGTCTTCTGCGTGCAACGTAACAATCACTCACCAGGAGAGTTTCATGCAAGTGCGTAATGTGGTTACAAAAAGCCTCCTAAGTCCTTTTCCCTTTCAAAATGTTGTACTGTAATCGAGAATAAAAAACAGACGTTTCGCCATAACGCGTATAGAGAGCACAAACAATTCAAGCCACGACTTGAAATATGTTTTTGTTTTTAAATTTCGATTTTGAGAAAATATAACTCTTTGGAAAGTCAAAGGCGTCATCGGCCAAAATAAATCAGCAACACACAAGTCTTAAGTAATGTGCTTCCAGAAAAAAATGTGATAAGTCGCGCGATCACAGCATCAATAGCCCTTTTTGTATGTATGAGTATGTATGTGTGCTAAAATGTGTGTTTTTACAAATATAATACCCACACTAACTTTAAGATATGACGTGAAGGCGTCGTAGATGTTACTTTGTACAGTTCCTTTCATAGTACAATGGCGATTGGGTTTTGTTTGTTTGTTGTTTAACGCCGTATTGTTTGTTGTTTAACGCCGTACTTAGCAATATTGCAGCTGTATGAAAGCGGTCTGTATATACTCGAGTCTGGACCAGACAATCCAGTGATTGACATCATTGGCATCGATCCAGGCAATTGGGATACGATGACATCAACCAAGTCAGCGAGACTGACTGATCCCGTTAGTCGCATCTTTTAAATATCCGAAAGGCATGGGTTGCTGCAGATCGGTTATTAATTAATGAAGTGAATGTCATTGATTTACATGACATCCCCCAAAACTGGTATTCATGTCCGATCGAGTCGGGTAATGACAAACGAGATCTCCACCCGTTACAGCTCTAGTGTCCATGTATCTATGGGGTTTCGTGAAAATTAGAAATGTCTGTCGGTATTAGATAATCCGACTAGGAGCAATGTAAACGTTGTCCACAGTTGCGCGCGCGCACACGCGCACACGCACACGCACATAGTCCCGTCTGTACGTGTTGAATGTTAACTTTGTGTTGTGTCAATTGTAATTCCTGCATTCTGATTAGCTGAAGTGGTCACGTGTTATTGCATTCATTTCCCACTCTCCTACCCAGAGTTCCATGCTGAGTCACCACTGCGACGGAGTGTGTTCATTTCCCAAAGGTAAAAAGATTAAGCCACGCCCACCGAGACGGACTACTTTTAATACTACGGAATGTCGGGGAATCCCAATATTACAATCGAGGGAATTCCCTTTCTGCTCACGTGTATCGTCATGTGTATCGACATTAAGCGAAATTCATGCATATTCATTGTCCAAACAACTCTTTGAGACCGAAGACCGAGAAGGAATTAAACAACAAAACGTGCAGGCTCGCTCGCCCGAAACAGCCGCCTTCTCCCGGACATATTTGTTCCGGTTCTTTACAGTCTGACTGTTGCAGTTCTTCTTGCCTCTTGCCTTCATTGACAGGTCCTATGAACTTTGTTTTTATCCTACTCTTCGTTGATTGGCTACTGACTTTGTAGGTGTGTCAAGATATGTGCCTAAATTAAACAATCACCTTATTCATGTCACGCCACAGTATACATTCCTACACCTGGAATGTTTATCAATCTCGTCAGTTTTGTCCGTTTTCATATGTACAACTGTTTTTGGTTAAACGATTGTAGATAAAACATGTATTCATTGTCGAATTTTATTATAAGCATTGACTGTGTATTTTTATCGGTTCGTTGAGGTAGGAATCGAAAAACCGATGTGCAAACTGTATGAATCCGCGTAGCACCGAAAACAATCACACAGTCAATCCTTAACTAATTTGGGGGCACGGATGGCCTAGTCGTCTAAGGTGCCGCGATTCGCTGTGCAGAGTTGCGTCCCTTAGGCACGCCAGAAACCTATGATTGTGGGTTCGAATCCCAGTTCGCTCCGATTATGTTTCTAGCTTTGTCAGCACCATACCCGTGCTCGTGGGTTTCACCGAAGTGGTAAGCGTCTGAGACACGCATCACCTCGGGCTTTCCTCCCATATCAAGCTGACACGCCGCGATATAACTGGAATACTGTTAAAAGCGGCGTTAAACCCAACTCACTCACTTAACTAATTTTTTTAATTTGAAGTTTACACGATATACAGCTTTCACAAATTGTCGTTCATAAGTGTATGAACGACACAATATGACGTTCATACGTTTTTCAGGAGACCGTGTTCTTCAAATGACGTAAACACTGACGGACTAGTTCCACATTCCCAAGCACATACAGAAGCGTTCTTTCTGATCATTTAGACCATTTAATCTTGAACTTAGTATTTCAGAATACATTAAAAAAGTCAGAGAGTTTGACTGCATGATTGTTCACTAATAGGCCTATCCCTGCTACGACCCCTCCGAATGAACAAAACGAAGAAATGCATGCACATCCAAACGTAGTGTATCGACTCGATCCGTGTCTAAGCTGACAGTGACAGTCTACAGCAATCTATGAATTTACCTTAGTGTCTGTTTGATACATCTTTAATCACCTTTCAATGATCGGCCAGTTGATCAATGATGACTAAAACATGTAACCGCCACAGGTTTATGAACAACTTCCGAAATCTCTCCCGTCACGTTTATCGTGTCGGCCATTTTGACGTCTTGTACTTGATGTAAATGTATTACGACGCGCTGTCACTGTGACTTACTGAGTTCTTCACATACCTTTCTTATCTAATGAGGATATTATTTGAGTACATTTGTTTACAGAAACTACCAAGTTGTCCCCGTAGAGTATACATAAGTTCATGTCACCTCTCGTTTTGAGGAACTATTTTATTCCGCGATACAGCTGGTTGTTGTATGGCTGTCAGTGTTGACATGAAGTCACAGACACGTGTATAGATCAAGGTGTACGTCCTTTGAGGTAAATATAGTGATATATAAACATTATAAGAATTGACTTTCACTTTGTGTGAGTTCATTGGAGTATGAAGTTCCATACAGTGAGGGCCAAACTGTATACACGTCGGAGCTTCTTGTTATTAAACGGGAGATCTCTTCACAAGGAATGAATTAAAAACTGTTAAACGATGAATGCTTAGCCGCGGGTTGCAACAGAACAGATCCAGGCATTCCATAAATTAATGTATGTACTTGTGATGTTGTACTCACCCGGAAAATAAAAACTGAACTTTCACCATCGATTAACTCATTTCTTTAATACGGCTTCACTGTATTTTACAACAACTTCAAACAACATATCAATTCTAACTGCTCAATTTGTTCATAGGAACAAACTTATTGATAAAACATGACAAAATCAGACGCCCTAGTGTGGAATCAGGAAGAATGAATTAGGAGAGAAACATACTGTGTTTTCAATGTAGCTATGTGACCAGTAGATTTAACCGCACTAAATTGAATTTGGAACCGAACCCGCAGCGTCACTCCCTAGTGACAAACATGACAAAGGCGATCGTCGGATGGAGTTTCCAAAGGTTTCCAGCTGCACATGTTGAGCGAGGTTTTCACTATTGTCCCGTATAGCCTATAGACTGACCCCTGTGTGTTGTCCGGGGTCTAGGCCGTAGTGCAGCTCCCCTCCCCGTGCCCACGCCCACGCCATCCTGTCCGTGGTGAAGGAGAAGCCGACGTCACCCTGAGAACTGACCACCACCACCCCTCCAGCGCTGCCCACTCGCTCAGTCATGTAGGCCAGGCCACGGTCTGCCGCCTCCTGACACGGGACGCCTGCAGGGAGAAGGTTATCTATGGGAGCTGACGTGTGCAGTGGTGCTGTGGAGGTGGGCATCCTACATTATGATTCAAACTGAGGTAGAATAACTTTAACAACCCCGATTGTATAGGAAGACAATGAAGCCAAACGTCCTACACATGAATTCATATGATAGTGTTTGTCTTGTTCAGAACGAAAACATGTCCCGTGTAGCCAGCGGGAGGTGGGGAAGCATAGTGCGCGTGAGAAGCCCACTTCTTGGGTCTCCACAGTGATATTGCTTGAATATTGCTCAAAGCGGCATCAAACCTTACTCACTCACTCATTCGTATAGGCATCACGTGGACATTGGATACACTGTGTATAATTATAAGTTACCAATCATTCACCTCATTCGCTGAAATTGTTGTTACCTTGTTCCATCAGATCGGTGATACGCTTGGCGAGACACACCCTGATGATCCCCTCCCCGTGTCCTGTAGAGGAGACAGCACCGGACCGATTGTCGGCATACCCCCCAGCACCTGCAGCAGATAGACACATGTAACCACAGAACCTGCAACAGATAGACAAATCTTTCCTCAGATAGACATATGTACCCCTAGATAGACACATGTACCCCCCAGAACCTGCAGCAGATTGATACATGTAACCCCAGAAATTGCATGTCCCCCGCCCTGCCTGGACTCTCTGCCCCGACGCCTCACTCACCCACTATAGACGTGTCCCCCACCCTGTCTGGACTCTCTGCCCCGACGCCTCACTCACCCACTATAGACGTGTCCCCCACCCTGTCTGGACTCTCTGCCCCGACGCCTCACTCACCCACTATAGACGTGTCCCCCACCCTGTCTGGACTCTCTGCCCCGACGCCTCACTCACCCACTATAGACGTGTCCCCCACCCTGTCTGGACTCTCTGCCCCGACGCCTCACTCACCCACTATAGACGTGTCCCCCACCCTGTCTGGACTCTCTGCCCCGACGCCTCACTCACCCACTATAGACGTGTCCCCCACCCTGTCTGGACTCTCTGCCCCGACGCCTCACTCACCCACTATAGACGTGTCCCCCACCCTGTCTGGACTCTCTGCCCCGACGCCTCACTCACCCACTATAGACGTGCCCCCCGCCCTGTCTGGACTCTCTGCCCCGACGCCTCACTCACCCACTATAGACGTGTCCCCCACCCTGTCTGGACTCTCTGCCCCGACGCCTCACTCACCCACTATAGACGTGTCCCCCACCCTGTCTGGACTCTCTGCCCCGACGCCTCACTCACCCACTATAGACGTGTCCCCCACCCTGTCTGGACTCTCTGCCCCGACGCCTCACTCACCCACTATAGACGTGTCCCCCACCCTGTCTGGACTCTCTGCCCCGACGCCTCACTCACCCACTATAGACGTGTCCCCCACCCTGTCTGGACTCTCTGCCCCGACGCCTCACTCACCCACTATAGACGTGTCCCCCACCCTGTCTGGACTCTCTGCCCCGACGCCTCACTCACCCACTATAGACGTGTCCCCCACCCTGTCTGGACTCTCTGCCCCGACGCCTCACTCACCCACTATAGACGTGTCCCCCACCCTGTCTGGACTCTCTGCCCCGACGCCTCACTCACCCACTATAGACGTGTCCCCCACCCTGTCTGGACTCTCTGCCCCGACGCCTCACTCACCCACTATAGACGTGTCCCCCACCCTGTCTGGACTCTCTGCCCCGACGCCTCACTCACCCACTATAGACGTGTCCCCCACCCTGTCTGGACTCTCTGCCCCGACGCCTCACTCACCCACTATAGACGTGTCCCCCACCCTGTCTGGACTCTCTGCCCCGACGCCTCACTCACCCACTATAGACGTGCCCCCCGCCCTGTCTGGACTCTCTGCCCCGACGCCTCACTCACCCACTATAGACGTGTCCCCCACCCTGTCTGGACTCTCTGCCCCGACGCCTCACTCACCCACTATAGACGTGTCCCCCACCCTGTCTGGACTCTCTGCCCCGACGCCTCACTCACCCACTATAGACGTGTCCCCCACCCTGTCTGGACTCTCTACCCCGACGCCTCACTCACCCACTATAGACGTGTCCCCCACCCTGTCTGGACTCTCTGCCCCGACGCCTCACTCACCCACTATAGACGTGTCCCCCACCCTGTCTGGACTCTCTGCCCCGACGCCTCACTCACCCACTATAGACGTGTCCCCCACCCTGTCTGGACTCTCTGCCCCGACGCCTCACTCACCCACTATAGACGTGTCCCCCACCCTGTCTGGACTCTCTGCCCCGACGCCTCACTCACCCACTATAGACGTGTCCCCCACCCTGTCTGGACTCTCTGCCCCGACGCCTCACTCACCCACTATAGACGTGTCCCCCACCCTGTCTGGACTCTCTGCCCCGACGCCTCACTCACCCACTATAGACGTGTCCCCCACCCTGTCTGGACTCTCTGCCCCGACGCCTCACTCACCCACTATAGACGTGTCCCCCACCCTGTCTGGACTCTCTGCCCCGACGCCTCACTCACCCACTATAGACGTGTCCCCCACCCTGTCTGGACTCTCTGCCCCGACGCCTCACTCACCCACTATAGACGTGTCCCCCACCCTGTCTGGACTCTCTGCCCCGACGCCTCACTCACCCACTATAGACGTGTCCCCCGCCCTGCCTGGACTCTCTGCCCCGACGCCTCACTCACTCACTATAGACGTGTCCCCCGCCCTGTCTGGACTCTCTGCCCCGACGCCTCACTCACCCACTATAGACGTGTCCCCCGCCCTGCCTGGACTCTCTGCCCCGACGCCTCACTCACTCACTATAGACGTGTCCCCCACCCTGTCTGGACTCTCTGCCCCGACGCCTCACTCACCCACTATAGACGTGTCCCCCACCCTGTCTGGACTCTCTGCCCCGACGCCTCACTCACTCACTATAGACGTGTCCCCCACCCTGTCTGGACTCTCTGCCCCGACGCCTCACTCACCCACTATAGACGTGTCCCCCACCCTTCCAGGTCTCTTGGCCGTGATGCCTCCAGTAGAGGTGCCGAACGCCACACAGCCAGTCTGATCCACTGCTACTGCCCCAACTGTGTCATGGCCTAGGGGGACCTCTCTGTTATAAAAACACCTGGGATGCAATATTTCATTGGAATAACGAACACAAAACAATCGTGACATGCTCTGAAGAAAAGACAAATATAATTTCACTTTGACGATGTAAATACTGCAATGTTATTTTACACGCTCTATGTTTGATTAAGACTGTCTGTCAGAATGAGATATATGACAACTCCACACCTGTTGTTAAAGAGTTGATTGACGGTAGTTTTGTACTTCCGGAAGTGTTCCAGTTCGGCTCTGGCAGTGTCTGTTATCAACGACTCATCTGGCACTGTTGGAATACCGCACTCGGACGCGAACTTGTTGGCACCCGGGCCGACCAGCAAAACATGCTCTGTCTGCAGGCGAACACAGAACCGTCAACATGATCACATGGCACGACAATACATGCTCTGTCTGCTGGCGAACTAAGAACTGTCAACATGGTCACGTGACACGACAAAACATGTTCTGTCTGCAGGAGAACACAGAACCGTCAACATGATCACATAGCACGACAATACATGCTCTGTCTGCAGGCGAACACAGAACAGTCAACAAAGGTCACGTGACACGACAATACATGCTCTGTCTGCAGGTGAACACAGAACAGTCGACATGGTCACGTGACACGACAATACATGCTCTGTCTGCAGGTGAACACAGAACAGTCGACATGGTCACGTGACACGACAATACATGCTCTGTCTGCAGGTGAACACAGAGCAGTCGACATGGTCACGTGACACGACAAAACATGCTCTGTCTGCAGGTGAACACAGAACAGTCGACATGGTCACATGACACGACAACACATGCTTCGCTTCAATCTACCTGTTCACTTGAACCACTGAGACTTGTTCATTTGTTAATACGTGAATTATTCCCATGGCACAGTTTTTAGTTGGAAATGTTTTTAACAATACATTTACACTGGCAAATGTAGCTCCGAATGGAACCAATTCCACGGGGAACTGACCATCGTTTACACAGCAGGTTGTCTACTGACATAAAGATATCAAGAGGGAGACATTTTATATGGCTGCACTTGATTCGCAGACCAGCGCTACGATCGGCGTACGAGGCATGATCAATCGATCCTAAACAATACCCATTTGCTAATATTTCTGCATTTGGACAGAATAAACTCGATTATCACCATTCTATTTACCATCATAGAATGGAGAAATCATACCCTGGATAATCGAGTGACCGACCGACCTTTTCCAGCACCTGTCTGGCCAGGACGCACGGGTTTTTGATGTTCTGGACGCAGGCGATACCCCCTGCTTTTAGGTTACGTCCTTCCATGACGACAGCATCCATCTCTACCTCACCATCCAGCGTCAGCACCGACCCCGTGCCTGTTGGTTGTAGAAAACAACATGCAAAGACAATAACAAGAAAATACCGATGCAAATCTGACCGCATCTGGTCAACGTATGATTATGATATTGAAGAATGTTTGAGACACAGAGACAAATCTAGTCCCCACATTTTGGCCTTCACTACTCTCCAGTAGGTTAATATGACCTTCATATAAGAGGATGTCTAAAGTGAAAGTGAACGACCTCCAGATACAACGAAGTCCAATTTTTATCTTCTAAACGCAAACAGAAGTGTTTGTTCATAAAGCAGAGGAACAGTAAAACTGTTTCCACGTGACAACTCCCACGTGACTAAAATATTTTCTCTGTGTGTTTTGTTTGTTTGTTGTTTAACGCCTCACTCAGCAGCATTCCAGTTATATGACGACGGTCTGTAAATAATCGAGTCTGGACAAGACAATCCAGTAAATGACATCATGAGCATCGACCCACGCTATTGGGATACCATGACATGCATCAACAAAGTCAGCGAGCCTGACCAGACGATCCCGTTAGTCGCCTCTTACGACAAGCAAGACCTATTCTAACCAGGATCTTCACGGGTTGCATACACTGTGTGTTGATAAGTCGGACACTTTCACTTGGACCAACAGTTGTCTGGAAGTAATTTAACTGTCCTGAAGGGCTTATGGAAGGCTAATTTAAGTCTATACGTAACAAAATATAACTTGAGGGATAAACCTTCTCTTATCATAATTTGGAACCAAGTATCGTAGGCAGTTTGGCAGAGTATAGGTTTTAACAGGGAATATGTATATGTCTTATATATTCCCTGAGTTAAATAAGTTAATTATATATATAGATAAATATTCACATCGTTGCCCAAATCAAATTATAACAGCAGCGGGACTATTATTACTATGGCAAACAGCACGGAGTCATGTGCAGGTCAGTGGCTCCTAATTAGTGCCAGAGAATGGCCGGTTGGCCACTGAAGCTTAACTTTGTGGATGAGGTGCGGAATACTGCAGGCTGTCAATGTATGTAACGTAACACGATACATGGCAGTCTGACAGTGAGGGTTAAAGGTAGTACGCTTTCTGTTAGTCGGGACTTGACCCTCGGACAGCGGCTAGGCAGGTTGGCTCTCTGACGCCTCTGATATGCTGCCTGGCCATGTCTGTCCCATTACAACAATCGTGATTATGCACATGCTGTAGCTGTTATATCACAAATAAAGTGTTGTGGACCCACTGATGGACTCCTGTGTTTGAAGGACAGATATCCCAAACGTAAAGGAGGAGCGACACAACCCAACAACTGATTTCCAACCCTCCCCAAACAAGGCTTTCCCCCATCAAACCCTTCCCTCCCACTGGTCTCCCCCTCCCCTTTCCATTCCACCACCTCCCATCTTCCCACCCCCAGTATACCATGCGCACACACACCCATACAAGTGCGTCCACTGTGGGTTATACCACCTGAGTCCCCAAGAGTGTCGCCTCAATCCACCCACCCCTGTTAATTACTTTCTGCCACCACTTAACGCTTTCTTTGTACATGTATACAATTTTCTGTCCCTTTTCTTTTTTCTCTCAGCTGTAGCATACACCTGTGTGTATATGTCCCGTCAACTTAGTAGCCTGTGCCCCTTCCCGACGTTTAGTAATATGCACTAAAATATATCAATTTGATTAGGGCGTTGTTTCACTGCTATTTGATGTATGAATGTATGTTTTAAGTACGTCTGAGATCCGCTCGTAATGCTTTGTTTGTCATGAGCAGTAGTGTAAGAGAAATATTATGCGCCTGAAATTGAAAATGATGTTTATGATAAATGTAATGATGTTTATGGTATAAATTTATGATTTATGTATGAGGATGCTCGTGAACCTGATATGATGTATTAATAAGTTGTATAGTTGACTTAAATGGTGTGATGTGGTGAGAGTAAATGAGAGACAGGTAGAAAGGGAGAGAGATAAAAGTACGTACGAGAGAGAGAGAGAGAGAGAGAGAGAGAGAGAGAGAGAGAGAGAGAGAGAGAGAGAGAGAGAGAGAGAGAGAGAGAGAGAGAGAGCATTTATAGGTGTGACTGATCATTTACCGTAAGAATGATAAGCTATCTGTGAGCAACTGTGTGAGATTTGAGCGTCGTGTATATTATTAGTGACGGTGAATTGGTACATGGCACCTTACCATGATTCCTGTAAAGCTATATTTTTAAAAAAAAATAGGTTCTACCTCACTGCTCAGTGGAAACGTATTTGTGTAACCATGTTATTTATACCTGGTGTCCCTTATTTTATTGTGTTAATCCATGTACTTGACGTAATCTGGTGTTAATTAACACATTGAAATGTGCCGTCTGTTGTAGCAAAAAGAAAATCGGGTTCCACAACATATATCTCAGTCTGCTTTCCTATTGTGAAAATATTGTTATTATTATACTAACTTATGGATTAATAATATACAGCTTATCGTGGATGTTGTTCAATTTTAATAGGAATTCATCATTTAAACTTTGTGAATCAACCATGGTTGATACATGGTTGATACATGGTTGTATAATTTGTCACATCAGTACAATCGGAATGGTATGGCTATACCGTCTCTACCCTATTGTATTAATTTAACATGTTTCATGCTTTATAATTTAACTTGTATCATGTATATTGTAATTTAATCCCTACCTCATTCACAATGCTTTATAAGGACGTGGGGCACGTCCTTCTTTACAGAAAGGGCGTATATCGTAGGCAGTTTGGCAGAGTATAGGTTTTAACAGGGAATATGTATATGTCTTATATATTCCCTGAGTTAAATAAGTTAATTATATATATAGATAAATATTCACATCGTTGCCCAAATCAAATTATAACAGCAGCGGGACTATTATTACTATGGCAAACAGCACGGAGTCATGTGCAGGTCAGTGGCTCCTAATTAGTGCCAGAGAATGGCCGGTTGGCCACTGAAGCTTAACTTTGTGGATGAGGTGCGGAATACTGCAGGCTGTCCATGTATGTAACGTAACACGATACATGGCAGTCTGACAGTGAGGGTTAAAGGTAGTACGCTTTCTGTTAGTCGGGACTTGACCCTCGGACAGCGGCTAGGCAGGTTGGCTCTATCACGCCTCAGAGATCCTGCTTGGCCATACTACTATGTAGTTATATAGATATAGTAAGATCAAGAATAAACGTTGTGGACCCACAGACGGACTTGTGTGTTGTAATAAGAGAATTATCCGGTAGAGCACCAACGTCTACCTAGGATACAAGCGTTTTATAGCATTGTACCACAAGACAAGACAGAGATCTTCTGAGAACGGTGATCTCGTGGAACGCACGTTATCAAACCCATAGGCAACTAGCTACTTTAGAAGGTGCTGACAAGGAGTCACAGATAGTAGAGACAAACATACAGCATGTTACTCGAGTTCAAGATTAATATTACTTACATTTCTTAGAGTAGTTCTAAACAAGCATGAAATACTCACATCCCCCGCCAATATGACATGTTTGGTGTGTGCAATGCATTAGCTCCTGTGAACTATGTTCACTGGGCCTTTTTGTAAAGAAATATAGTACGTTTTTCAAGATCTGCTCCGGAAATGAGGACTACCGCAATTTTCATTCTAAATCAAAGTCGTTGCCATGGAAACTCAAAAATTAACTTTTTTTAAAATCCCAAACTATCAAAAGGCACCAGTTCACCACTAGATCTATCTATGTGCCAAGTTTGGTGAAGAAATATGGTACGTTTTTCAAGATCTGCTCCGGAAATGAGGACTACCGCAATTTTCAGTCTAAATCAAAGTCGTTGCCATGGAAACTCAAAAATTAACTTTTTTTAAAATCCCAAACTATCAAAAGGCACCAGTTCACCACTAGATCTATCTATGTGCCAAGTTTGGTGAAGAAATATGGTACGGTTTTCAAGATCTGCTCCGGAAACGAGGATTACCGCAATTTTCAGTCTAAATCAAAGTTGTTGCCATGGAAACTCGAAAAATAACTTTTTTAAAAATCCCAAACTATCAAAAGGCACCAGTTCACCACTAGACCTATCTATGTGCCAAGTATGGTGAAGAAATATGGTACGGTTTTCAAGATATGCTCCGGAAACGAGGACTACCGCCATTTTCAGTCTAAATCAAAGTCGTTGCCATGGAAACTCGAAAAATAACTTTTTAAAAAATCCAAATCTATCAAAAGGCACCAGTTCACCACTAGATCTATCTATGTGCCAAGTTTGGTGAAGAAATATGGTACGGTTTTCAAGATCTGCTCTGGAAACGAAATGTGACGGACGGACGGAAGGACGGACGGCACCCATTCCTATATCCCTCTTCCACTTCGTGGCGGGGGATAATAATTGCTATAATGGTTACCGAAAACAAAATGTTTAAAAAAGAACTGATGAAATATCCCTCCATATTATAACTCTATGTATTGTGTAACCATTATATTACATGTATTTAGGACCAATCTAAGAAAGATCGGAATATACTGGAATATTGATAACTGTTAAGAAACTTGTAAGCAAAGAATCACATACGCAATGTTAAATGTTCTAACATTCCTCTTTTGTGAGTCTACCAATCTAAGAGGGCCGCCTCCGTGGTCTAGCGGTAGAGCGTCCGCCAGGAGAGCGGAAAGTTAGGAGGTAAAAAGATGGTACTTGTTGTTACCCCGCCTGGCGCTCGGCATTTAGGGGTTCAAACAAGGACTGGTCGGCTTGGAGTCAGTATTCTATGTCTGAGTGAGGTATTCATGTATTCATGTATTCGTGTTAAACTGCGGTATAGTGTTTCAGTGGGCTAGCAGTATAAAATCGGCATTGGTCACACACACACACACACACACACACGAACACGCGACCCCAGTGTCCTGATGTTGGCGTCCAGTAACAGTAAGTCAACATATAGCCCACGTGCGGAAACTGATTTTTTTGGGGAAAGAAGGGTGCATTTTGTGATCAAAATCCGCAAAAGGATCTGCATTTAAGGGATCATATAAAAACCTTCAAAGTAAATATAAGTATATTTTAAAAATGTGGAGCGTTCCCGTGCATTCCCTTCTGGACCCGAGTGTGTGACCAGTGATGTGTCAATGTGACTTTATCCCACAGCAGTGATAGAGTATATTACCTCAACGTGGCGTAACTGAACACTATAAAAATGACAACGAAATTGTACACCTATTTTGACCTGCCGACATTATTAACTTTGAAATAGACAATGAAAAAAAGGCTGTTGTCTTCTGACCTGCATCAAAGACCGGGTCATCCTCCAGGATGCAGATAGCGGCTACCACGGCGTCCAGGGCGGACCCACCCTCGGTGAGAACATCGTACCCAGCACGGGCTGCACGCTGCACCCCCTCCACGCTCGGCCCGGCCAGGCTGTCGGGAATACCCCATGCCCCACCGTGGACAGCTATTGCGGGCAGCTTGGCAACACTCATACCCGCGGGAGAAGTAGCGGTTGTGGTGGGGTAGCGCCTGGGGTCAGACAGGAGCGTCAGTCAGTGTGGCACACAATAGCCACGCGGCCTTTATATCTAGCAGGTTTTTTTGTGGACCCTGAACAGATAGTCCAAGTTAGGTATGGATGTCACAGTGTACCAAATGTCAAATACAACAAGTATATATAGCACGTTATATGTTACAAGTGGTTGTAAAATATATCTGGTGCAGGGTTTGTTTCCAGTGACAGGGGAGCTTACTGTCCCAAAATGTCCGACATTTATGTGAAACACGTGGACCATCTAACAGGACAGCCACGAGCCGTCTGTACAACACCTGCAACAGCAGACCCACTGACCTGCTGTTAGAGTCGGAAAATTTGCGCGTCACGCAGCGCTCCCTCCTGTGAAAGATATAGTATTGCCAAGTTTGACCTAGTTTATCTGGCCGATAACAGAAACAACTCTGGCCGATCTCAAGTTATCACGACAATTTGTATTGATGTTTAGTCTTAATAACATACCAAACTCATATATGAAGCCACTTACATGCTCAATTTTCCCCAGAAACGAATGCCAGCACTGTGTCTAGAATTGCTCACCTGTAAATGCACAACAGGCAGATGCTCCTCATCCAGGTGTAGCTGAGCCAAGAACATCATGGGATGTTCCCTTGGGTGCAGTTGTGATATGTCATGCCTAAACAGAAACAACTTACCTACTTTTCCAGAAGAAATGGACTCTGACGGTGACTAGAGGTGACATTATTTCACGGCTCTTGACTCTATGGTGTAATTTATAATACTACAAGTATTCTCATGGTTTTTTTTCACTCAAATGATAAACTAGACAAAAGTGCAGTATATCTACAATTTTGAGTGAAACGATGTCCATTTTATTAAAATCCGACTTTGGAGGTTTGTTGGTGTCGCTAGTGAAATTAGCTTTCGATATATTATTTGTTCTATTGTTGGGGATAAGATTACCACAGAAGTCAGTGAATAAGGTACATCATTGAAAAGACAATGTAAAAAGCTTTCATATGATATATTACATGACCATGTTGAAGAAATATATTAGATCTTGATTTTGAAAACAGGTCAAAATGGCGGCCATCTTGAAATTCGTAGATGTTCACAGAAAAACTTGAAACATCATTTTTTTTTATGAGTTTACTAGTTTGGTGTTTTTAAGCATTGTTGCAATTATCCCACTCATCCACTTCATCAACATAATCTACCACCATATCTCAATAAACAATTTTCGTCAATATTGATTTTTGGGGTGTGTGGTAACATTGTATACAATATCTCAGCCCCTATGTAATATATTTTGATTTTGTTTTGTGTATAGGATAGTACAATGGTTGAGGCAGATTTTGATACCCAGTTATAGTGGTTTTAGTGTCACAATTCAATGGAATTAGTGTTTTACCTACTTACAATATTTGAAAATGAAGTAAAAAAACATGATTTTTATCAATGTCTCACTGAGAATTAGAATAACAGTTATATGAAACAAAATGTTTGCCAAATTCAGATAGGCGAACACATTACCTTTAATCAAAGACATAATTTGGATAGTTTAATGACTTAATAAAAATGTTACTGCCAATGTTGTTAAATTATGCATTTTTCCTTCAATTTATGCAATTTTGACTTCCTGAAAATTCACGCACACACTTGCAAGCTTACTACCCAATGAAAATGGTGTACAGATACCTCCTTTATGCAATAGAAAAGGTTTAAGGTATACAGGAAAATGTGGGAACGAAAATCTTGTTTTTCACCCCTGGCCAACTGACTATTACACAGTGAATGGTTGGGGGTTTGGTTTCGCGAACAATTTTTCACAATTATGTTGCATGACGATAGAAGACTCCTGACGTGTATAATTTACACAATAGTCATTGGAAATAAGTACGTAAGTGTGTAGATGAGTAAAATATGCTTCTTTTTATTTTAGCGTGTACATGGCCTGAAATTGTTAGGGCCAAATCGTATTCTCTGGAACAGTGACCAATGCTAAACAGAAACTCAGGGTAGGGCTGGGACGGGTAATTTGGGTACTCGGGTCGGGTTGGTCCTGAGTAGGACCCGGGTACCCACAGTACTACCCGGACCCATGGTTAGTCACGTGACATATTGTTTAATGACAGAAACTCACTAGAGCTCAGTGGTTACACTACAAGTTGCTGATGTTCGCATTTCTTTATGATGATGCACACATTCCTTTTGACTTGTATATGTTTGAGTAAAGATAAAGCTTCTGTCAACTTCAGGATACGCATGATTCGATCGTTTCATAAGAGATCATATATATCTATTATATGGTTTCATACATGAATCTAAACAGTTTTTGCCAGGGCTACAGTTAAACTATTCCCAATTAGACGTTATGTTCCCAACTCTTGAGACCTACAGTGGGTACCCGGGTAGGGTCGGGAAATAGGGGGTTGGGTACCCGGGTAGTAAATTTGGACTCGTCCCAGCCCTAAGAAGTAGATAACTTAAAGGTACGGGAGTCTGAAGTCCAAGGTTCACTCGCGGCCAAAAAACAAGTTGCCATAGCAATATACTCCTGCTGTAATATTGCATAAAATGTATATGTATAATTAGATGTCTACTGGCGTTTACGTGACGGAACTACTCACATGACATTTGTGCTGTTTTGCATGTGTGTACAGTATACACCTGTAAGCATGTTAACGGACTGTATGTCGCACAAAGTATAGCGTTCGTCTCAAAAGTAAATGAGAAAAATAATGACAGCTTTTAAACGAAAGTGGTAAAACAAGCTCAGTGAACTTGGTTTTTCAGGCACATGGATATTTTTCAGGATTATGAATTTGCTAAGATAAGATAGAACCAATTCTACATACAATATTCCTAGTTTAGGCGGACCCTGTAATCCAGCTCTATTGTATTACTAGGCCTAGACTATTTGTTAACTTTGCACGTAGATCTACATTATTACTAGTATTTTAACAGTGCGCGTTTTCACTTTAGTTCTGGCCATAACTCTAGATACATACGTACGTACATATATTAGTCCTTATTCACTTCTAAATGCAAATGGAATAATTTCGTGTGGATATTGTTAATTTTTGAATTGCTACTGCTTATATCAGACATTTTCTTTGTATTTCTGACAACTTTGTATGGGGGCGTAAGATCTTTCATTGCCAAAATAATTGAAAAGCTATGACAACCTCTACCATCATCCTCTGGACACCCTACCAAGCACAATGCATCTTTCGTGTAAAGTTTGTGTAGACGTAGATTGACATTTAGTCCCAGAAAGTAAGTTTTCTCATTTAAGAAATATATATATATATATATATACTCAGTAACAAAAGTTTAGCAACACCGTATTTAAATACACAAAATAAGAAAACTCAACAGAGAAATGGGTTTTTTGTTATCTTGACCATTGTGTTGTTCAATGTGACATTCATGAATGTTCGACACAGTTGTGACAGCAATAGGAGAGATTAGGAAAAGTCACTCAAAGGACATGAGGGTTTGTTGACCATTTTCACACATGACTGTTGCTATCCCTCAGTAGCGAGTGTGACGCCCACCGGCCTGTTGTACCGCGACACAACGTTTACGCATTCCTCTAATGAGCTTCCTGATCTCACCAAGAGTTATAGTTGCCCATGCTTGTTGGAGGGCAAGGCCAAGGTCACGAATGTTGTTGACGTTAGGATGGTTCCTTCTTAAACGTCTCCCAAGGATATCCCAGGCGTGTTCAATGGGAGCAAGATCTGGAGATCTAGCCGGCCAATCGAGGACGTCAACGTTGTGTTGTTGCAACAGATTCTGAGTCAGTCGAGCTGTGTGGGGGCGCGCATTGTCTTGTTCGAAGATGTGTCCAGGGTGAGCTCTCATGAACGGTAGAACCACTGGCGTTATCACCTGATCGCCGTTGGGCAGTCAGAGTGTTGTTCAGCACAACGAGGTCTGTTTTCCCACTCCAGTGGATTCCTCCCCAAACCATTACACTTCCTCCACCATATCGATCATGTTGAATGACGTTATTAGGGTCAAATCTCTCTCTATGTCGTCGCCATACGCGGGCTCTTCCATCCGTAAACCGAAGGCAGAAGCGGGATTCATCCGTGAATAACACTTATCTCCATTGTGCGTGGCGCCATCTTTGGTGGATCCGTGTCCATGCGACTCGGTCTTGGATGTGACGTGGCGTTAAGGGGATGCGTCATAGTGGACGTCGAGCCCGCAAACCGGCTGAATGGAGGCGATTACGGACAAGCTGTGCATGTACACGTGTTCCAGTTGCGCGATGAAGTGCTTGAGCAAGTTCTGGTGCACTGTTTAGTCGATTACGTCGTGATGACGTCACAATGTAGCGATCTTCCCTTGCTGTGGTTTTACGGGGTCTGCCGCTGCGGGCTCGATCTTTCACGGTCCCAGTCTGTGCAACACGTGTCTGTAGACGGGAAATGGTGCTGTAATGCACATTAAAGTGTCTCCCAACTTGTCTCAAGCTCAACCCTGCCCTTAACATGCCAATGGCTTCATGTCTGGCATTTTGGGGCATACCTCTGCGTCGACCCATAATTTAAATCGTGTAGCGTCCAGTGTTTTCCTTTCAACAATGTGTGCCACTAACGTTTCATCGAGGTTTTATAGCGATTCATGTGACGAGATTCACGGGAGTCCCGATGTGAATAAAATCATGTGCAATGCACGTTTAAATGAAGATGTCACTAAAAATCAGCGTTACTTGGTGTGTTGGCGCGATATGTTCTCTCCGTGAAGTCAGTGCATTAGTCCGTTTCTGACATTTTCTCATTTTCAAATAATGCTCAAGATTTGGGTGTTGCTAAACTTTTGTTACTGAGTGTATATACAAAATGAAAACAACAACATTAATCCAAATGGAGCCCAGAACAATCCTTAATTTCAGGTACTAACAAATCTGCAGATCTCTGATTTGTTGGAATTACTGTAATCTTGTCAATGTCAATGTTCTGATTACGTGCCACAGCTCCACTGTCACTGGATTGTTTGGTCCAGATTCGATTATTTACACTCCACCGTCAAATAGCTGGATTAATCCTGAGTGCGCGTTAAGTAAGAAAACTGTTTTAAATAGACCTGCCCTATGCAAATGTATCAACTGTATTGCCCAATACTCAAAATATATAACATTTTTTCCACAACAGTATTGTCTTATTTGTGGTTAACATAATTATGCCCCGTCATGCCTTTCAGTAACATCATAAAAATGCGTTTGTGAGGCATCACATATGGCGGGGAACTCTGATCCTCTGCATCAATGTTTTCTTGTACCTTACTGGACTCCGATTGCAAATCTATCTGTGAATGTTTATTGTAGGGACGCCTCCTCTTCATGAAGGCTAAACCCAGTTTATTGTGTGACGGGAACCTCCCGCAGCTGGCATTCATTTAGTTTAGATAGGGGACAGAGGGGGAGAGGGAGAGATACTAAGTTGAACTTTCAAGATGATGACTTCAACTTATGTATCTTGAAATTTCAACATAGCATCTTCAAATTTCAACTTAGAATCTTCAAATTTCAACTAAGCATCTTGAAATTTCAACATAGCATCTTGAAATTTCAACTTAGTATGTATCTTGAAATTTCAAGTTTGTGGCTTGAATGGACTAGATAAACACGTT